CCCCTCCCCCTGCACCATCTGTTAACCTCATGTCATTTTGCCTTCCTTCACCAGCCCTCATTGCTCTTTTTTTTTACCCACTCTTCCTAACCCCCCTTCTCTCTAGCAACTCCTAAAGTTTTTCCCATCTCCTAAAATAGCAAGGCCATGAGAAGAAAAAATAAACAAGCCAGGCACTCTTTAGTTGTTCAAAATGTTAGGTTTTTGGTACCGTCCTCATCCTCTTGCAACCCGTGGGCACTTTGGGAGCTCTCTTCAAACAATTCCGAAAAGTTACCCCGCCAGTGCTTTCCATTCGTCTCGTGCATTTGTTTTTCCATTTTGTTCTCGGAGCTGCGGTAGAAAGTGCTTGGTAGATGTGCAGGCGTATAACAAACTTGAGAGCAATGCCATATGGTAAAGGCAGTCCATGGGTAAATGAGGTATCAAGTTCACCCCTTCCCCCACTCGTCTTAAGAAAATATAAATCACATGCATTCTTTGCGCATGACTCATTGTCTCCATTTCGCAAATGTTGGGCTTAATAATACTCTCCTTTTCACTCTCTCTCTCTCTCTTCTTGACTTGAGCCATGTCCAAATTCTTCCTTGTGCTTCAGTCCCTGCCCGGTTTTCATCTTGGCCATTCTCAGTGTGATTCAGACAGATTGATTCCAGATGTTGCTTGAGCTCCGCCTCCTGTTCCTTCTTTTCTTTTCTTCTCGACCATTTGTGATCTTGCTCTATAATTTAGGCACATTTGGTTTGGATTTTTGCAGGAATCCCATAGTTTCCTGCAAAGCAGAGTTTCTCAAACTTTATCTTGTTTTCTTATATTGCAGTTCCCCTAATGAGTGCACCATATCTTTTGCATATCTCTGGAAATTGACAATTGTAGAGTGCTCCTTGACTCGCTCCTTGGCTCACTTAACTTTGAGAATGCACAATAAGAATGCATCAAGTTAAGTGACATCACCAAGGGCTCTGAACATGAGATACAGGTCACGGCATCATTATCTTTACACATGTGTATCTGTCTCTGTCCGTACTACCACGGCTCGGCGAGGAGAGCGTTTCCCCTGGGGATGATGCACGAGGGAGAAATTGGTTCCAGATGAAACAGGAAGTAGTAAGGGCCAGACAAAGAAAGTGTTGTTTAAGAATATGTGGTTCTTTTGGACCAATGTGTGTATATACAAGGTCAAGGTCCGACCAAAACGTTTTTTGCCCCACTTGCCCACAATGTCTAGACTTCCCTTCAGGCCACATGTCCAAAGCATGTGCCATCTGTTTTTGCATTCAATTTACAAGTTAAAATAGAATATTGATACACTCAGTGAAGCTGACTGAAGTGTCAAAAACAGTTGTTTATGCTAATTATAAATGAGAGGGACCAGTGCTTCCCAAATTTTGGTGTGCAAGCATGTCTACAGAGGATCATGTGTAACATGGAGGCATGGAGCTGTGTACATTTTCATTTTCAGTGTGTTTGTTAAGCGTCACTTGACTCTGATATGGAAGCTGCCGTTGACTCAAGTGTTTAAGCCAACTAAAACAATATACCTTTTCCATCTTTAAAGCTCTACAATGGTAATACCATTATAAAATTATCTGAATTCAAGATAGTATAATTTTTCTTGTGCTGGTAACATTGAAACACTGAACAGTAAAGCAATTTATACCAACTGGCGCTACACTTTCCAGGTTCCCAGCTGTGCCTCGCTGCTGGTAGATTATATGAAATACAGCTTATTTGAATACTTCCTTGCATCTACTGCCAGTCCCACTTCTGTTCAACCATCTCTATCCTTGCCTTGAAATCTCTACTTTCGTAACAAAAGACACAATCCAATTTTACAATGTTGGAACAGTGGAAAAAGCTACACCATGAGCAGACGGTTTGTTCAGCGCTGGTTATTGGAGTGCTGGTTTGGACAAGCTAGATGTCAATAAGCTTCCACTGTGATCCCTCCAGCATCTGACACTTGCGCTTGATTGGCTGAATGAGCAAACCAGGAAGTGGGCAGGCAGCTGGAGGTCAGGGACGGGGGGTTAACACTGTTGACACTCAAGTTGTGCACACACACTGCAAAGCCTTCTCTCAAGCTGGACCAGTGTTTGGCCCATGAATATAAACATGCTGTTTGATGCTAGTCTGGGAGATGAAATGTAATAAAAACATGGGTACTTCTAATGCCTGCATAACGCCCATCCCCCTTAGCATACATACAGGACAGGAGGCTGAGGTGTGGCCAGAGGAGGCCCATTTAATTTCAAGCGTGACTTTCTTAGGCTGAGTTTACACGGAGACAATGTGGCAGTAAAACGGTATAGTTGGATATCGGTTGCTACCAACCGTTCATACGAAGACTGTGTTCCAGGGAGGTGAAAACGTAAGTGTTCAGATCCAGCCTGCAGAGTGGGACAACTCAGATACGCTGCACAGCAGGGAGCTCTTTCACACCCGCGAGAGGGGAAAAGGTGTAAAATCCCCCTCTGCTCTAACCCCGCCTCCGCGCTGCTCCCGCACGTAAATTTGGACATGCGCAGTAGCGGAGAACAATCATCAACAATAATGGCGCCGCCCACACAAACTAGCTACGTGGGCTTCCAGCGCGGGACAGAGGATAACTCTACTCCTTCGTTCGTCCAAACGAGACCACGCGAAGCTCTAGGTTCAGTTCCCATGTTCACAGCTGCTGTTAAAATGCAGAATGATGTTGGTACTTTCTGAGGGTCTGGTACAGGAAGTGAATATACTGCCGAGGGGGGGGCTGGGCACGGGGCTCGGGGTCGTGTGTCGTGTTGTAAAGTTCCTCTGCCCCCTACTGGCCGGGCGCTAGAACTACATCGTTTTTCAACCTCATGTGAACGCAGAGAAATTTGCATTAGGAGCCTGGTCGTTTCTGTTAATAGCCTGGAAACGTCTGCGCAGCGTCTCAGTATAAACAGGGCCTTAAAGGGCAGGTATTTAGGGAGATGTTTGTACCAATAGAAAATGTAAAGTGTACGGCAATAATTGGTCTACCTCATCCTTCAATGCACTGAGAGGGTTATGTCTGTTTATGGAGCCGGTTCACCTCTAATGCCGGCTTTTTGTGATTAAGGCATCAATGGAAGAGTACCCAAAGCTGAGAACCGCTCAGGGGACTGTTAAGGTGGGAAAGACAGTAGAGGGCCGAAATAAAACTTAAATGGCAATGTGGAAAGCACATGATTTTTTAGAAAGTGAAGACTTTTGGCGAAATTATCTTAAATACATTTAAAATATGCATTCAAATAGATTACGGCTGCAGCTATCGATTATTATCTTTGGGTAATCTGTCAACCTTTCTACAGCCATAACTGCATACAATGATTTATTTAAGAAAGACAATAGTATCCATATTTTAACCACAAGTATTATTTTAAACTCAGATGAGTGTTGACTCCAGGCGGGAAGATTTAGTACTGAAATTAGTTCCATGCAGTAGATAATTCCAGATATATCGAGGCAGATTAATATTGCCAATCAATATTGTAACAAAGCCAATTCAGCCCTAAAATCTACAAAATAAAATTATACAAAAAAAAATCAAATTATATACATTACAAATTGAGCCATTCACTTGCAACTGTATTTTCATTTGTGAATGGAGGTTGAGATGTATTGGGGTTTCCTGTGACCAATTGTCACCTTGAGAGAACCCCACTGTTGCTTCTCTTCTGTGCGCTGGAGCTGAGACGTGAATCTCCCCAGGCGGCCATGTTTTCTCTGCAAGGCATGCCAGCAGGCAGGAGTGCACCGCTATCATCTCTTTCTGCTGTCAAAATATCATCGTTTGGTTAACTTTCCTCATTGTTCAAAAGCCTCTTCATGACTCCTTGCTCATTGTCTTATTTATAGCTCGGCGCAAGCCAATGTCTGCTGAAATTGCACATGAGTGAACAATAATGGTGGAGAAATAATTGAATTAAGAACAATTACCAAGCAATTAGGCACAACAAAGGTTTCTGGGACGGGGATGATCCAAGAGGGGTGGGCTGCCCCTGCTCTTTAGACCCAAGTTAGAGGGGACTTGTCCCTGTTTAAATTTGTTTAACCGGGCTGCAGAGTGAATTAATGAGGTTTATTTGCCAACACCAATGTCTCAAGTAAATGTAATTGTTAAAAGATAATTGTTTATAAAATAAAGATTTACATTTAAGATGGTTCTCTCGCATGCTTTATATTTACCTGTTAGCATCCCATTCACTTGATTCAGAATATTTGAGTCGATAAACCTGGCACATTGCTCAAGACCTGAAACATGGCAGGCATAAAGATTAGAAATAAAGTAATAGTGAGTAATAGCCCAACTTTATCTCTCTGTGATCTGCACTCTTAAAATATGGAATTGTGACATCCCTTCGCCCCCTTAGCAAAGCAGGACTTTACTGAGTTAGCCACAAGAATTTAATTTTGGACCAATAACTGATCAGAATCAGAATCATTTTTAATGCCACGTAAGTAACAGGAAGTCACAGACTTGGATATTGCTTTGGCTCAGTGCATCAGTCAGAAAGAGAGGTAAAGAATAGACAATAGACTATTTGATCAAGTCGCCTGGATGGCATGATCTGTGCAGGGATTTTACATAATATTTGTAATGGATGTGTGTTATACCCATTTTAATTGTTTTTTTAAATTTAAAACTATTAACCGATTTAAACTCTGGTACATCAGGATTCATTGTAGCAAACCAGTATTAAGATAATAAAATGATTGCTTTTAAGTAAAACATTTTGGGAAACATCTGTTTATTTTCGTAATATAGAACAAACACTTGATTGCACGGGTGCAGGGAAGGTGTACCATGTGGCTTTGATCGGCAGAATGCTCCATCCTGTATACACCTCTAAAATAACACGTTGAGTGCAACCGTTTTTCAGCTCGAGAGCTCTCGGCTGAAATGTAAAAGTTTGGGACTGTCATGCAGCATCCGTGTGCCTTTTCAAAGTGCTGCCACTCACTGCTCTCTTCCCTCCTGTTGTCTCTTGCAGAACAATGAGCCTTTAAATCCTGGTTTCCATGGATACCCACCTCACAGTCAGGTAAGAGATTAGTGATTGCTTAGTTATTGCTTGCAAATCTTTGTCTAAATTGTACATAATCTCAAAGGATATGACAAATTGTTTTTGTATCTGGTGTTATGTAAGCCTTGTTCATAATATTCTCATTGACTTTATTGAAGTTCAGGAGCTTCTAGGCGGCTTTTATAGTTCAGTAACAGGTACTCTTATCTTATCTGCTATGTAACACTCTCTTAATTTTGCTGCTAGATAAAAACTGTTAGAAGGGATTGATTTAAAGGGAAACTCTCGATTGAAACACTCTTCACAGCTCTGACTCTTTTGAAAATAGATGGAGTTTAAGCTATTGGCTGTTTTATGCTAAACCATTTGCAGTGCATGCTACACTACCTCACAATGCCACCTCTTTCCTCTCCCTCACTCTCCGGTCCAGCTATCTCTTCATGCATATTGCTCCCAGTAATGAGTGGTGTATGTGTGCAGTGCGGGTCTTATCTACCTTCAAGCAGAGCCAAAAGTGGCTTAGCGCGTGCCAATGGCGCGCACATGCCGTCCTGTGAAACCTCCTTGCATGTTCCTTTGTCTGCTGCCTATGGCCTGCGTGGATGTGCAGCTCACTAGCAGTGCCACAGGAGGGGAGTGTTGGTCTGTTGAGCATGATGGCCCCCAGCCTCCCCCTCTTCTTCACATCACACTGGCCCCCAGCCTGCGCTCACTGTCCACTCTCCACGCTTCTCCTTTCCGGGAATATACTACTCCAGCTGAGTGACGGCGGAGAGGGTAGGGCAGGATGACAACCTCTTAGGGTTATCACAGAATCTCACCAGTCAGTATCAAATGTGACCCAAAATTCAAGAGATTCAGGGATGCACCGATACCACTCAAAACCGATCCGAGCACTTTAATATGAGTACTGGTACAAGCACTGAATTGTGTTATCCCTGGGAATTCATAAAATTTAATATAAATGAAATTTTTTAAAATTTTATATTTCTCATTTCAACTATATGAAACTGCTTTAACAATTAAACATTTTAGCAATTGTTATAACAGTCAACAATTAGAGCCACTGTCATAATCCACTCATACAAATGTAGATATAGCTGTGGTGCTAGCAAAGGTTACCCTACTTGGTGGTGAGTTTTTTCAAGTTGCTGGTGTTATACGTGTTTGTTTTGGACCCACCTCGTGACAGTTTTGCCTTAACACACAACGTAGTCACTCAGTCGCTCTCGTGATTACGTTACCATACGGCCAACATCTTGTCTGCTCACCGCTAGCCTGCTTGCCGGTAGCTTGCTTTCTCGCTGCCGACTTTCGGAGATACTCAATATCAGTATCGATGCAGCCCTCGATTAATGTATTTTGTCCCGTAGGAAATTTGTCTTCGACTCACAGGCTGCTACATTGAAAATACACATTAGACAGACATAAAACACAACACAGTAACACAAATAGAGCTGCATCTATCGAATATTTTGGTAATTGATTATTCTATCGAATGCACCGATCGATTAATCAAGTTATCAAGATTTTTTCTTTTTTTTTTGCCTAATTGAAAATATACAATATCAAATGAAAACCATTTCATTTAGTGGCTGCATACTATATGCTCTTACTTTCTTCTTCTTCTTACGGCTTCCGCCAGATTTTGGCCCTTTTCAACTAAATTCAACAAATTATACATCGTTACGACCGGCTTCACCGTCTCATTATTGCTATTACTTTTCACACTTCCACTTTTTGCACTTTTTCAGATATTTACAAAAGTACAATCACTTTTTCCCATTGACTTACATTGGACCAGTACAATAATTGCCCCGCGGACAACACATTCTTCTTCTTCATCTATGCAGCCACTCACAATGGCTTCAGCCATTGTTCCATTTCTTGTAATGACAACTGTTTTTTACATTGTATACAGTTTAGTGCATTCATATTATCAAAAGTAGACTGGTGTTAGTATTAGATAGCAATATGGCCTACGTGCAGGACTGTACAAGGACTCCATGTTATGACTATGATTTGACTGTCTCTGTGTGACACGTATGTCTTTCCATGTGTGACGTGACAATGACTATATAAACTGTGTACTGTCTTTATTCTGTCTGAGAGAAAGAAACAAAGTAAACCAGTGGAACTTGAGAGAAACTTAAATAAACTTCCAGAGTTTGGCGCACCACGATCCGTCTGTCTGCTGAATCCCTGACACTAGGCAGGGGCAATATCACCTGTACCACTGTTGATTTTTGAGTCCTTCCAGATTGAACAGAATCAGATGAGGAGCATGTCTCTGACCAGCATATTTAAAACGCTCTCTGTCAGAACAGCAGCTTGTGCTGGGAGCAGGAACTGGTCCTAAACAGGCTGTGATGGTTTTCTGAAAGACGTTAATTGTCAATCGCACACCCCTTCCAGATTCAATATGTCCTTTATTAGATAAACACTGCTGACCTCACACGTCGTGCATTTCTGCAATAATTATTATATGCAATATAGAACCACATGTGTCTATTTATGACACTATACAATACTACACTACAGCATTTCATACTTGTTTTTCTATTAAAAGTTAGAGCTTTTATTTAATTTTAATATTTCATTATTGTTCACATCTCTTGTGCCGTGTGCTCCTCATTCCTACAGTTCTGTAACTGCTGATGGATCTTTGTCCACAGTGTTCATACATGCAATATGAGTTCAAATAACTTGTGGAGTAGTATAATACCCGTTGGCACTAGGATTGTAGTGAATGTCAACTTAAGTAAAACATTCATAACACATGTCTTATGTAGGTACTGATAAACCTTTCTGCTTCATCACTGCGTTAACAAATGAAAGGCTATCTGTAGGCGACAAGCAGCTACGTTGATAGTTTTCAACCATGTTGCTTTGGCAGTGCTTGACTGTTCGCGAGAGTGGGAAAACCCCTCCGTGTTATCATAATCATCAACATTTTACTTTCACAACGCGTGCCTTACACCATAACATGAAAGTTGACTCACTTCGTCCCGGGTCTTCCTTGGATGCTTCCTCGTCAGGTGCGGCAGCATCAAACTGGTGTTATCATGAGATGCTAGCTCCACTTAGCAATTTGTGCAAAAAACTCCGGTTTAGTTTACATAGTGAAGTGCTCCCTCACTTTAGGCGCTTCTTATTAACTCTCCTGTCTTTGCCAGTGCCTTCTCCGTCGTCCTCCATTGATATTATAATAGATCAATGCATTGTCCGCAAAAAAGTTTCACAAACACTAGCGATGCATGCGGACCATGCAGACCGGTGTTCTGTGTAGCTCAGGACACGTAAGATCTGTGACGTAAACATGTTGCGCAACACAAAAAGAATCTGCGAAACGTGAGAAAAGTCTATGGAGCAAACAAGGCAAAATGCGGCAAAAAACTACCGTATACGAAGCATCGATGCAGCTTAAATTCCTCGACTATTTTTAATAATCGAATTATTTGAGTTATTAGATTAATTGTTTCAGCTCTAAACACAAACATAAACCATCACCGCTCTGCTCGCTGGCCTGCATTCACAGATATGGGTAGGAATTTCTTATACCTGCCTTGCCTTGTGTAGGAAAGGCGCTCTATAAATAAACGTTGATTGATACCGGTTTCTTACTTTGCCTCACGCGACGAACAACCTGAAAGGCTTGAGGCTTGTGCAATGTTAGCCTAGCCTTAGCCATCCGTACACTCCGTTCAATCATCATTTCACTGCATGTAACGTCTGGGTCTAGTCCCTATGTTGGCGATTGCAGTCGGTTGAATTTCGACCGACCACTCAGAGAGCGCGGAAAGCAGGTGTTGTAGTTAGTTGTGGGTGATGTCAAGAGTTTGCGTCGAACAGGCAGGTTGTACACATCACATCACGGTAAACTCAGATCCAATCGTTTCAATCTGCAAAAGGAGTTAACCCCTCCCACCTGTAAACGGAGCAGGCTAGTGCAATGTTGGTCCACTTTGGGTTTCCCCAGAACAATGTGTTTGTTTAGGTGGTTTCTCTCCACATAAAATGTTAAAGGCCTAAAATTTTAAAGCTAGGACTCAAACTACAACATAAGAATTATAGTTGTAGGGAAGAGGGAGACTTCTCCCACCATGTGGCTGAACTGCAATAGTTTACTTGGGCCCTGTTTAGACAAAGACGCTGCGGAAACGCTGCATAGCAATTGGCAAAAATGACCAGGCTCCTTATTCGAAGTTTTCTGTTCCACTCTGGAGTTTCTTTCTCAACGCTTGCGTTTTCACCCCCCTGAAACACTGTTTTCATGTAAACAAAAGGGCATTCCAATACCCAACTCTAATCAAAGCAAAGGAAGGTTTCTCACCCATCATCTGTACTTCTTAGCAAGTTTTCCCGACGTTTCGTCCTCAACCTGGGGACTTCTTCAGGGAATGAATTCTCGGACCGCGCGTTGGAGATTTATAACCTATGGGTGTGGTAAGCCACACCCTAATCCTGATACTAACTCGTAAACAATCTACGGTCTGCTTGATGTAGAAGGGAGCAGGTCTAACGACCCTGCTGAGGCTAACGACCCTAACTCATTAGCATGTCACTGACCTTGTCCCAAGTTAGGGCGTTGTTTTTAGGATGTCGTCATAGATGCGAGGCAAAACAAATCTTAACCCTCCTCCTCTGTTAAGAGAAGGTTTTTGTTTCCTCACAAAAATGGCTTCTTTCACCCCTCTCTCAAACCAATTCTTCTCCCGAGCCAGAATTTTAACCTCTGTGTCATCCACCGTGTGGTTGGAGGCCTTGAGGTGGAGATGAACAGCCGACTGTGGCCCACTAGAGTTTTCTCTACGATGTTGGTAAAGTCGTTTCTGTAGAGTTTGTTTGGTTTCTCCAATATAGTGGTCAGTGCACTCCTCTTCACTACATTTAATTGAATACACCACATTGCTCTGTTTGTGTCTGGGTGTTTTGTCTTTGGGATGCACTAATTTCTGTCTTAACGTGTTGAACTTAACTTGCTAAGAAGTACAGATGATGGGTGAGAAACCTTCCTT